TCTGGATTTTTAGGTCTGTTCTTGAGCTCCGCCTTATGTTCTTAACACTTTATACATTTTTCCTGTGAGAAATTTATTTCCCAAAAAAAAACTTTAGAATAATGTTTATGTCGTGTTTTCTCCAACTCCCCGGCTAATTATTAAACGGAGATAGCACATCGGTTACGTAACCAGATCTTCCAATTCGTAGATCCAATTTACCACAGTTTTTATTTAAATTCCTTTATTCTGTTTCAAACATGATTTTTGTGTAAAGATTGATGATTGTTGTGTCTATTTTACATTTATTCAGGCCCCCATGATGCCGGCCACCGTGAACTTCAAACGACTCGCTAGGAATGTGAAGCGCGGCCGCGAGCTAATGGAGGTATTGACTATGAAACTTTTAAACCTAATATTTGGTTTAAATGAAATCCATTTGTTGATGTCTTGATTATCAAAAATATTTCCCAGAAGCGTTTGATTATCTTGAAATATTTGGAGATGATTATTGTTTTGTTTGTTGATTCTATTTTTGTTCAAAACTTTTTATATTTGTTTTGATTGTTTTCTTTCGATTTGATAATTAAGTCTTTTGCTTTGTTTGTTTTACCTTATTCTTTCTACCTAAGCTTAGTATTGGCGTTGTTCTATTTTTTGGTGATCTGAAGGCAAAATCCCCCCAGACTTTCAAGAAAGAGGACTCCAATAACAAATTTGTTGTTGTTGTGAGTGGTTCTTCACATTAAAAATTATTTCTACCTTACCCTCTCAATCTGTAAAGTTGTACTGCTGTTAAGTTTCATGGATAATCAGGTTGAACATGGATCTGGAGACCAGTGGAAATCTATGTCATATGTTGTGTGTCTAATATGTATGTTTGACAATAATGGAAGGATGTAAATCAAAAACTGAAACCATGCAGATTCCAAGTAAGGTTCAGCCATATCTCTTGATATCTACTTTGATTTATCATTTATGTAGAAAGATCGTTCAAAACAAATCTTATTATTTTATATGATTTGTACCTGATATTCTTATTTTTCAGATCTCTTTACGCAAAGGGATGCAATAAAACAACTGTATCACTGTAATGAAGCTTCTCTTTGAGTGGCATTCTGGGATTTCTCACATTTATCATATGTTTTTGATTTTTATGTATTTAATTGCTTATGTTTATGTTTACACTTGGTCCTTAAAATACTTATGTGCGCTCATATGCTAAAGCTTTTACTTCTCTAATTTTTTTATTCGTTCATTTCAGTGTGTTCACTAGATGTAGGCAATTGGAATTTGATGCGTGAAGTTGATATGAATAATGGCCAGCTTGAGCTTGATTCCAAGAACCAACCAGATGCTATCACACTTTTCTGCTAAGTTTTCATGAAGATATCAGTAGGAAAGACAACACAAATGTGGACTATCTGAAGTTCGATAGCATAATATAAGATGTTTTAAAGGATCTTCTGGATACTGTTCTATTTTTTTCTCTCTTAGCATGTTAACTAGGTAGTTTATCAGTATGATGTATATTAGTCTAACCTTTTTTTTGAGGAATATACGTATGATGATCAGTGTAAAAACAATCAAACAATGACAAATGGAAAGAAGAATGTGAGATGTGGTTGACCACACACATTATACTAAAAAAGAAAGAAAACACACAATAAAAAAAGCTTTAAATAAACAAAAAGGACCATACAATTTAAGATATCATAATTGTATTACAAACCCAATATATATTAGTAGACTATACACAAAACGAAGCACAGAGCAAACAAACCAAAACAGATCAAATAACGCAAGGTAACCCATTATATTTATAAGAACAACCTCACAAATCTTACAAACAAGTCCATGGCTATCTATGACTATGACCCAAAAAAATTAGTAAACACAACAATCAAACATCATAATAAGGCCACACTGAACAAAGAACTAATTTGGTCCTTCGTTCTTCCGTCAAAGAAATAGAGAGTTTTACATCACTTTTTTTTTTATCAACAGAGTTTTACATCACTAAACTGTTACAACTAGACATATAAACGTTTTGTTACCAAAACAAAGAAAAAAGAGTTTAAAATAACCCGAAAAAATGCACATAATGAAATAACATGTCCTTACTTTGAAAGTCAACATATAACAAATACTGAGAACCAAGTAATATAATAACATTTTAGTGAACCTTATATTGTAAGAAAAGTTTAAGGTTTTTAAAAAACATTACTTTTTTTGTATAACCCATAATAAAACAATAAAGGTCAATAATATTTTCATTAAAATAAATTATAAAAAAATTGAACTTCATCAACATTTAAAATATATTTAAATTATTTTATTCATTTGCATACCCGCCCGTAGGGCGGGTCAAACCCTAGTATATATATATATATCCCTTCTAGTAGCAAAAAATTTTTATGAAAAAATTGAAAATCACATTATACGAAAAAACCTTCGTGTAAATGTGTTAGAAATTACACATTAAAAAACTGTGTTAGAAGTTACTAGGAAATTTGAAGGTTTACTATTAAAACATATTTGAAGGTTCATTTATGTAATTGAATAAAAGGCTTGAAGTTGTTATAGGAAATTTAAATTGATTTCGTGTATCTCAATTCTTTTAAAATTTTTTAAAAATATATGAGAAGAAAATGGGGATTTTGGTATGCTAAGATAACGATTTCTATTTATTGCATAATCAATACTCTTTTATGGATCCTTTTACATTGGTAAGATTTAGTTGTATCTATTTTAAATGATAGATCACGATTTTGGAAACTCTATGAAAGACTTACATATACTAAATATTGTGTGCCTTGTTAACGGAATTTGGGTACTTCTTTCGGTATTTTAAATATTCTAATAAAGGAAATTTAATTAATCTTACCTTTTATTTTAGGGTTGGCTGCATATTCCCCCCCCCCCCTTAAACACATAAACCCTACTTATTCCCCACTAAACTATTAACCTCTTTCCTAACCTACCCAAACATATATTTTCTCTTCATATTTCTCCCTAAACTTTTAAACCCCCCTTTCTAATTGAATTCTCTAATCGTGATTAATGAATTAAAAATTGCGTTTAGAAAATAGCGATTACCCAATTAAAATTAACCCACCCGACATTTTTAAAAAATCATTCCATTATTAATCCCAAATTAATTGGAGCTTAGGGTTTTTTTATATTTTTTTACGACACAGAAACAAAGAGAGAGAGAGGACAGAAACGACGCCAGAGAGAGAGAGAGAGGGGAGGACAGAAATGACGCCAGAGAGAGAGAGAGAGAGAGAGAGAGAGAGAGGGGGGATAAACAAAACAAAGAAACAAAGAAGATGACCCAGAAAGAGAGAGAGACAGAAACATACTCAAACTCAGACAAACTCAAACTAAGACATAGAAGTCATTCTTCTCTGTTTCAGTAATGGTATCAACACTTTGGACTTCACTTTTTTCATCTCTGTAAAAAAAATTCAAACTCAAACTCAGACATAAAACAAATATGAAGTCTAAGTTAAACAAGCTTGAAAATTCTCCAAACCTAACAACAATAGACCCTTCATGGTTCTTCAATGTCTTTCTCTCCTCTGCATTCTTTTTTTTTCAACTCTTATGCATTCTCTTCTCTCATTCCGTCTCTCTCTCTCTTTTCTGTTCCCGTCATCTTTCTCTATCTCGTTGTTACTGGGTCATCTTCTTCGTTTCTCTCTCTCTCTCTCTCTCTCTCTCTCTCTCTCTCTCTCTCTCTCTCTCTCTCTCTCTCTCTCTCTCTCTCTCTCTCTTTGTTTCTGTCTCTCTGGTCGTTTCTCTCTCTCTCTCTCTCTCTGGTCGTCTCTCTCTCTGGCGTCGTTTCTGTCCCTCTCTTTCTCTCTCTTTTTTTCTGTGTCGTAAAAAAAATTAATTGGGCAATCGCTATTTTCTAAACGCAATTTTTGATTCATTAATCATGACTAGTAAATCCAATTAGAGAGGGGGGTTTAAAAAGTTTGGGGGGACATATGAAGAGCAAATATATATTTGGGTGGGTTAAAAAAGAACTTAATAGTTTAGGGGGGAATAAGTAGGGTTTATGTGTTTAGAGGGGGGAATATGCAGCCAACCCTTTATTTTATTCAACAAATTTGCTTAGTTTGATTTTATATTGGGTTCTCATTTTGGACATGACATGTATACAATATGGTATAAATATATGCAGCATGTAAGTTTCTTGAGTATATAAAACAGTCATGTTATGTACATATTAAATGATTTGCTATTGTCATGTGTATAAGCAGAAAGAGATAGGTTGCATTTTTTTTTTGTAACACAGAGATAGGTTGCATATCATATAGGTTAATAATATAAACAGTTTTGTGTGCAAATACTAATATGCTAAATCGTTACAAAGTTACCTTGAACCGGTTTGTTTAGATGATGAACAAAAGGGTTAATGACTTGCATGTTTATACTTGTTTCTAAATATATTTAATTCTTTATACTTGGTTTATATGTTTACAATTGTCTAAATTTAAGAACATGGTAAATCGTTCCCATTATTAGAGTGAATTTGTTTGTCAGATTGTAGTTAATGGTTCATGACTTATTCGGTGGTCAAAGCGAAAGGAATATTATTTAGTTTGATAGATATAATGTTTCTCGGTTACTCATGTGATTTAAATGATAACACTAGATTTTGATCCGCGCTTGAGAAGCGCGGATTTTGTTTTGGTTGTAAGAACATTTATGAAATGATTAGATTAGTATTATATAAGAGTTTTATGTTTGAATCTGATGTATATTTAACCTTTTAGTTGAGTCTTTTAATTGGATTACACATAGCCGGGTCACTTTGTAATTGAATTGACAATCCGAAAAACATTAATCCGAAAGACATTAAGAAAGATAGAGTTGTAACATTAAAAAAACTAGGTTCAGCATTCCAGTTCAATATATAAAAAAAAAAACACAGGTTTTGTAAATCAGACAGCAGTTAAAAAGTTCATAGACATAACATCTTAAACATAAGAGATGAGGATAGAGATAACTTAACGCCATATTTGTTCCTGTTCCACCTTGTCCTTGACATGGTTCATAACGCCATCGTTGAAGATCTCATCAAAGAGTTCAAGTTTACCGGAAATGCGATAAACTTCCACCTGAGCATCATGCTTCGCAACAACGGCTTCATGAAACCTCATGTACATGTTAAGAATCCTTCGGTAATGATTATTCCTATCATTCATTCCAGACGTGTAAGCCTCTTGCAACATTGATCCATGAAACTGATTCGAAGACATACTTAAATAGAGATCTGCATGTTCATATAAATGGAAATAAGAACTTAGACAAAAAATATGATATATAACACCATCAAAACATTTAACTCTCAATGAAGATATTAAAAGAGACTATATATATGAAAGATAACCATTTGTCATGAAAGAAATCTTAAATACTTAAGCGGGGATCTTATCAACTCTCAATGATCGGTTAATGCATGATCTAATCTCTCAACATGTTTCGTTCAACAATGAAAGATCTAAGAAAATAGGTAACAAAGTTTGATTCCATATGAATGAGATTACAAAACTAAGAGAGATTGCAATATACTAAGATGTTGATAGGAGGTGATAGAGATTCCACAGGTAATTGCACTATCGATTACAAAAAAATAAGATAACTTACAAATTTGTTTCTTCTGCTTTGCTGAGAAAAATATGGAGAAAAAGAGATTTTGATATGAGACGGTAGAGTTTCCACTTTATAGAAAGAATAAAACCGAGCTTTGTGTAGTTCCAACACTTCATTTAATAACCTATATTTTTTGTCGAAATTAAATGTATTTGCCATTATTTTGTTTATTATTTTTGCACGTTACCAATATTTATTAAAAAAAACTTTAAATATTTTTAAACTTTTGACTGATAAAAGCTATCGTATTATGTGAATCTATGCGATTAATATTTGTGGTGCAATACATATTCCTGGTATTATGGAAACAATATTTATATCGAAAGATTTGTCTCATTTTGTGAAAATTGACTGATATCTTATGTGTTATTTCTTATGTCAGATATTTTGTGTAGTAAAATTTCATATCCAACTATGAAAACTAACTTACTAATGACAAAGTAGATATAATATATTATGTGATAGATTTTTATATGGAATTTGTATGTGATAGACTTGTATATATAATTGGTATGTGAAAATTAGTTGGATATGATTTTGTATATGAAATTTGATTGGATCAAGCGAAATCCCCTAGTAAACTTGGTCACATTTTTAATATAAATTGGATGTAAATAAAGCCAATTTAAAAATTTCAATTAATAATCTCATAATAACATCTAAGAGTGCCTCAACAAATAGTTTTAAAAACAAAGATGATTCTGAAGATAAACCATGATCTAAAATGGAAAATAACAATTCAATATAACGTAAAATTTGAAATATTTAAAATAATATTACAAAAGCTTTATCCTATTTAAACAATCCACTGCCTAAGTAATCTCAAAAGAATATTAATAAACTATCATATTATTGCCTTTGATTTTTGCATGTAGAAAAGAAAGTCAAAAACAGTAATGATTATCTTGCATTGATTAACTCAATATATATACGAAATCTTTTGGCTTGAAAATATAGTTTTTACTAAAATGTCAAATTATTACTTCTTGGAAAGAACATCATTGAAGTATAAACAATAAAAGAAGCGTGTTTTGGAAGTTGAGATATTTGTCAATCATATCAAAAGCACATTTCAGAACTGTGAAAACAAAATAATAACAAAAATATATTATAAAATTAAGATAACAAAATAAGAAAAAGTTACCAGTTTAAAAATCTAGTAGTTGTTTAATAGTGAGAGCCTTAATACTGCGTATCTAATCATTAACATGGTTCTAAAAACATTTTCTGTGAAAAAAAATAAAACTAAAACGCCATAAATATGAATAAATCAAGCAATAAATAAAGTAAGAAGAGTAAATCAAGCAATAATAAACATTACTAATAAAGTCTTTAATTAAAATACCGGTTGAAACAACCGATATATCAAGTTCAACTTAAACAAAAAAAAAGTTTTAAAATAAACTTAAATATTTAAGTTTGAGATAGGGTTCCCATTACATGCTCAGTCATACATCATTGGTTCACCCAGCTTGAACCAATCTATAGGCGGAACACAAACATCTTCAAGTTTGGAATCGGCAAGGGCCAGTTCGAACTCGGTCTTCTTCTTCTCATGGTACATGGAAAAAAGAGACTCACATTCATGGAGGAAATCAAGTTTGGCCTCTAGACGAACCTTATTGAGTTCAACCGAGTGCCTCTCTTCAATGGCTCTTGTCTGGTCCCGACACATAATCAACATATCCCTGTACCGCTTCATGGTGTTTAACTTACCCCTCTGGTAAGCATCCTTCGCAATTTGTGATTCTTCCTCCATGAGTGGACCTTTCATTTTGAGATCTCTGTTACCTGCAATTGAGATACTTCTCAATGTTTAAGAAAAAAATCAAAATTTAGAGAATATATGAAAAAAAACAAAATTTAGAGAATATAAGTTTATCTAACCCTACACTGCCAATATATGATAAATATATTTCATCTCAGTGTTAATAAAATATTCATAAAACGAAAAACATATATGAAACACTTATATAACCCTAGAATGCCAATATTGAATAAGAAAATTTTTGTAACCTAAATACGGTTTACAATTGAAGGCAGAACAGATCTAACAACAGAAAGAATGTCTTATCCGGTTTACGATGAAAATACTCAAAGACAAAAAGTATATATTTTAGGAAAAATACAACACACTATAGTAAACCCTAAGAAAAATGCATGTAAAATATATAAACACCCATCCAATACTCTCTATAGTTAGATCCCATGTATTTTTGCAGATTTATAAAATCTGCAGACAATGGATTTTGTACTATAACCCTAAAATGAAAATATTGAATAAACTTTATCACGCTTTATGCAAGGATGTTTCAAAACAGTCTAAGATAGAACATATTTAACATCAGAACAACATCTACTAAAATAACGCACAGAAGAATAGAAAGAACATTGATAGAAAATCGTACCTTTTTGCGATGAGAGAGAGACAAACGAAGAGATATTATGGTTATTGTAGTCAACCGAAGAGTCTTATATAGATAAGAAGTAAACCTAAACATCAGTTCGTTTCAAGGCTTAATCTGACTAATAGCCCATTAGATATTAATAATTTAGAAGCCCAATATAATTGGGTCATAAATCTGTTCGTTTATTTTTGAAATGTATTAGATAAAAAGCATTTCATGTTTCGAAATACATGATCCTGTTTATTATGAGATTATTTTAGATATAAAGTTTAATGATTTGTTAGTTAAATTGTATAGATTTGACTGCATGGTATAATATTAGGTTCATAATATAATATAGACTATTGAAAACTAAAGTAAAACTAAATTTTAAAGATCAAATTCATTCAAGAATTGGAAAGGCATTCTAAAGTATATAAAATATAAAACTGTATAGAACTGCCAACAGAAAAAATCAGAGATTCTGGAAGATCTCTTTGTAAACGACGTTTAGTGTTTGTCTCTGAGGCTTTCCTTCATCGTCCACAATTAAAATCTTCAACCCATTTTTGGACGTAACTCTTGAAATAGCCACATATAATTGACCATGAGAAAAAACAGGCCTTGGTAGGGTGATGCCCACTTCTGATAGATATTGTCCCTGACTCTTATTGATTGTAATAGCAAAAACGACAGAAATAGGAAGTTGCCTCCTCCTCATCTTGAAAGGTAACTTCTTGTCAGAAGGGGTAATATCAAGCCTAGGAATAAGAACTACTCGACCAACCTTATCCTTATCTCCTGTAATAACTTTTGCCTTTATAATGTTAGGGTACATCTCTGTAACCTGAAGTCGTGTTCCATTCATTTATCCGCCTGTGGGATCTATGTTTCTGAGCAACATAATAGGACAACCAATCTTTAAGCGAAGACTATGGTTTGGCAAACCTGAGAGTTTGATGGTATTTAAGAAATCTGGAGTAAGAGCTTGATCGTTAACTGAATATTTATCTGAAGCATTTATCGTATCAGAACTTAAGAAGGTCATTTCCTCACCTGAAATATTTATAAAAAAATTATTATGTTAACTTGGTATATGAATGTACAATTTGCGAAATAATATTTATAACACAAAACAATAACTGACCATCGAGTTTATCCAACATGTGTTGATTGATCTTCTCGACATCCTGGTTAGTTGGACATAGTATTGCTCTCTCTTGGAAAAACTTAGGCTCTTTATTCTGCTGTAAAGAAACAACATCACCATACACAGCGCGGCTTATAGACTCAATAGGATCTTCTGCATCAAGAATAAGAAACTCTTCAGGAATATCAATTAGAGCCTCACCATCATTGTTGTCGCCTATATTTCCATCTCCAATATCTAATATCCACTTTGAAAACTTTTCCAAATCTCTAGCTTCTTCGGGAGATAAATCGTTAGACATCAACCTCATATTTTTTGTCAGCTTCAACACTTTGACTTGCTTCCAAAGATAAGAAGAATTTAAAGATGCCAAAACAATTTCAGCTCTACCAGCTCCATGAATTACAGGTAAAACCTGTCTAAAATCTCCCCCTAAGACAACAACTTTACCGCCAAAAGGTAAATTGTCATTGTTCCCAACAATGTCAGACATACTCCTACTTAACGATTCAAAACAATGATTGCTCATCATCGGGGCTTCGTCCCAAATAATCAGAGAAGCTGCTTTAATCAAATTCGCTTGGTCTGTTCCGTGAGTTAGTGTGCAAGTAGAAAACTCATCTGGATTAAGTGGTATCCCAAATTTAGAATGTGCTGTCATTCCCCCTGGTAGTAGCAAAGAAGCAATCCCACTGGATGCAACGTTCAAACAGATTTCTCCTCTGTATCTAATAGCAGCAGACAACAATCTCCACAAGAATGATTTTCCAGTTCCACCAAACCCATAGACAAAGAACACACCTCCTCTCTTTTCTAACACAGCACTAAGAACCTCATCATATATCTTTCTCTGCTCGTCCGTCATTTTTTTAAAATCAAGATCGTGTTCAGATTTTAACTGCTCTTTATCATATCCAAGCTCGTCCATAATCAAAACATTCTCCTGGAGAGCAAAATCAGATATTGGCTTTGGCATAGATTCCCATGCCTCTAAAGAAGTACCATTCCTCTTCAAAATCTTCTCAATCTCGTGAAGAGTTAGTTGTTTTATCTCCTCTTCACTCAAATA